CCTTGGGCAAGGCTTATCAACCAATGTCTTGAAGGATGGCTTGAGCTGATGGTTCATTTTGGATATGGCCTGCTGTAGGTCTTTCTCGAAGGTGGACCTAGCCTAGCGCTTGAGAATGGTGAAAGACTTGTCCTCAGCAGCCATCTGAGCATCACGGCGGTCTGCATCAGCTTGGTGAGCTTCTTTGAGAGCCTCTGGTATGCGCGGAATATGTGTAAGGATCAGGGTATCCCGTTTCACATCTGGAAGGTGCTTGTCTGGCCAGATGAATTGCTTGCGCTTGCAGTTAACCCAGACATCTGCATCTTCAAGGAATTTACATCCAACGATCAAATCATGGCGTCCTGTATTGCAAAGAACAAAGAATGAGCGGAGGCGGTGCTTGTCCAATACCAGATCGGCTTGGAAATACTCATCTACTTCCCCATTTGCAACACTGTCATATCCAGCAATAATGATGGGCTTCATCTTCAACGGCTTGATGTGCAGGTGTTTCTTGAGGGTCCGGATGTGCTTTGGGTGTACCAGGACATAGCTGCCTACACCAGTATCAATCAAACCATGGAGCTTCAGGGAGAGGCCTTTTGAGGAGATCCGGCTAGGAACAGTGAATGCCGGACCCGAAAAGAGCTCTTGCCTCAGATCTATTAATCCTATTGCTCCCTCTTGAGACCCTAGGGTGGAGACTTCCCCTAGAGTGACTCATTTTCCGAATCTGGCTCAGAGGAAGGGGTCTCCTCTTCTGGGAGAACTTGGTATTCATCTTCCTGAGCCAGGTCCAGGTCTTCTTCTTCTGGTTCCAATTCTTCAATAGCCTTGTGTTCTGGTGGGTTCTTGGGATAGTCACGGCTTATATGGCCTGCCTGACCACACTTGTAGCAGCTGACAGGTATCTTAGAGTCTGCTGTAGGCTTGGGAAGTGCAGCCCTAGGAGTGAAGGGGCGAACAGGAAGAGGAGCACGGGACTGAGCTGGAACCTTCTGTGCAGCCTTTGCTTGTCTCAATGCAAGCCGAACAGACCGAGCTTCAGCTAGTGCAAGTTCACGAGCTTGCTCCCTGGCAATCTCAACATATCCTTGGTAGTTATCCTGGTGTTGCCGGCAGAACACTCCCAGTGCAGTGCGGAGTGAAGTGGGCAACTTCTCATGAAATTCTTCCACCCATTGATCTCCCGGAAGCTCCTGCTCTTGAGCAAGACGCATAAAGTCAGCTTGGAACTTCTGAAAGTCTGAGGCATTGCAGCAGAAAAGTCTCTTGAATGCTTCTCTAGCATCCTGGCGCTTGTGTGGATTTCCATAGTTCTTCTCCATGAAATCTAGGACAACCTCAGTGGTAACGGGAGACTTGATATTAACCAGAGTGCGAATGAAGGTCGAGATCTGCTCATTGGCTTCCTTCTCAGTGCGACTACGGATATAGGCTACAAGATTCCGTTCTGAGACTTCTTCTGTTGGGCCAGTGAACCAGTCATAGTTCACACGGAGTTTGTCTTCCAGGACATCCCGCCATTGCTCAAAAGTAACCTCCTTTCCATCTGAGAGCATGGGAGGATCAGGGAACTTAGCGGAGTGACGCTTTGAGCTTGTGGTTCCCATGGGAGCAAAGGTAGATGTGAGTGGAGTAGCCGGGACAAATGGGTTGTGAGTGGAGGCCAGGGGATTGAGAATAGAGTCCTCCAATTCTGTAGCTTCATGGATCGATCCTAGCTTGTGTGGAGTCACTGGGATAAAGCGGGTTTTGCATGTGGTAGTAGGGGTGCTAGGTTTTCCAGCCAGTGAACCTGCAGATGCCACAGCTGCTTTAACTTGTTCCATTGCCTTGATTTTAAGCTTCAGCTGAGCAACCTCATGCTCGAGGCATTCATTGTCTTCTTTCAATACCATGGCATCTGCATGAATTTGATCTCCTTCAGCAAAAGCATCTGCAGCCAAGCACCGATACATATTGAGTTGCTGAGTGTCCACAATCCTCAGTTTAACCTGCTGGGCTAGCTCTTGCACAATCTCTTCTGGATTGTCCTTGAATTCATCGACCATCTGTCCTGGTTCTGTGCTGAGGGTCCGGTGACTCAAGGAAGAGCAGATGGTGCCTGGATTGAGTTCCAGGCACTTGAGCTTGGCAGTGCGGTCTTCTTGGTCATTTTCCTCAGTTATTATATCATGTGAGATGTTGGAGCGCTCCTGGTACTCATACGGAGCTGTCTTATCTTGAATATTGTAGGTGTGAACCTCCAGAGCTGTGGGTTGGGTTGCAGTAGGGGTGCGCACCATTTTTGAAGATCCTGCCATTGTATCTTGTTGTTTTGAGGTCGAATCGATGCGGGAAAGTGAGCAAGGCTTGTTGGTGATGGTGTTGTATATAATAGAGTGCGTAGGAGTTGACCGGAGGTGTAGGAAGTGAGGTAGTGAGGTGGGTGAAGGTAAATGTGGTCAAAGGTCAGGGTTGGGTGACGCGATCAGGAGTTCCTCTTTGAATGTCCTAAATCCATAGGGCGCAAGTCCGAACAGCCACTGTTGTTGTGGTCAGAGTGCTGGGGGAGAGATCTAGCAGCTGGCCTGCTAATCCTCAAGTGAGAGGGTGGTTTGGCAGAAGACTTCCTCTTGAAGCTTCTGGCTACAACCAGATATTATGCCGCCGTCGCCGGCCGAAGTAAGTGACCTTTGGATAATGTGAGGACGGTCCCTGGGTCTCCACGAGCGGCTAGATCTCTGAGGCCTGCACTGCAACTGCGCGAGACAAGGGAGAATGGCTGGGTAGGTTGGGATCTATTTCAAGCTATCCAAAGGTGGAGAACAAAGGGTTGCTTCCACCGTGCGATCTATATACACTGAGTGCACTCGTTAAGCGAGTGGTTAGCTTGGCAAAAGGCCAGTGCTGAAAAGATGGGATGGCGAAAGGAACAATCATGTGACTTGAGCCATGTGACTGATCAAGGCAACCACACAACCAAGTGGTTCAGCCGAGTGGAGCCTTGAGCCATCACATACAACAGGAGCTTCTTCCTGCTGTTGCTGATGCTAACACATATGAGAGCCTTGAGAAAGGATGTATGTAGTTAGTGCAGTAGTGTCATAGTCCTAGACTCAATACACATAATGATTCAAAAAAAAAAAAAAGCCTTCTCCTCCATGTGGTTTACCTTGTGACGACGGCGGGAGTTGAACCCACGACCTCTGTGACACCTTGGTACCAAGAGGTCCCTGACGACTTTACCACTAAGCCATCCATCGCCGATCGTGGGACGTTGGACGGTGCTACGGTGCAGCAGGTGTGCGAGGTGTTCACCAAGTGGCGCCATGCTTAGGAGACGGTGGAAGAAAGCGCGGCGAGGACTCTGTTTTGCGTGCACGTCGATGCGACTGCGCTCAATCGCTGTTTGGCTTACCTAGTTCTCAGTGAAGAGGGCCAGAGAGCGTTCGATGGCGGCGTTTACAGATGGGGTCGGGGACCTTTTGAGCGGGCCCCTTATTTCAACATCGTGATGACGGCGGCGGTGCCCATCGATGAGCCGGACCCTGTGGATGGAGAATCTGAGGACGAAGGAGATGCTTAACTCGAGAGGAAGAGGTGGAATCCGGATTCGTCAAGACGTTCTGGCCGCAAGTTCCTCCCGACACTTATATCGATCTTGCCTGTCACCTGACGCGTTCGCGGGCTGGGGCCACCCCTATTACAAAGCGATGGAGGAGAAACTTGTTGTCTATTGAGGATGCCCTCCGTATCAAACACTGGTTCCGATGCTACATGCGTGGCATGCTCAATCAGTTGGAGGATACACAGCACCAATATCTCTACGGGTGTGATCAAACTACAAAGAGGTTTGCAACACACGATAGAATAGTGTAAGTGTAGTTTGCTCCACTGCCACATGCTCTTGAGCTATCCATCCGAATCTCATATTCACTCCAGGTGAGGCTCGCGAGGTTGCCGTGTCAAAATTTGGCAGTCAGATTACCCGCGTACCGTGAGCTCATAGCCGTCCAACAATTGATTGTAGTTGTCTGCGGCAACTTGCTCCATCCTGCGCTTGCGAACAGCACCCGCCATGTAGTCCCGTGGCCCTCTGATATACCGCCAGATTAAATTCAACGCGGAATCCTCCACACTGCGAAGTCGTACCTGGGTACGTTTGCCGTCAGCTGCGCATAGATTCCCAAGGGTTCTGCGTACCATCCTCCAAATCGATGGGGTAATGATTTTCGATCAACTGCCATTGCCTAAGTTGATCCGAGAACGCTCACTGGCGTAGCTCGTGGACTTACGGGATCTGAAGATATTGGAAGACCGCGATGATCTACGAGAATATCAGCTTGTGGTAGTTCTGAAGACGCTTGGACGTAGTCAATTACCAAGTCAATCTCTCTGGCGAGGTTTTGCGTCGGTGTATCGTCACCTTGAACTATACCCTCATGGTACTCATCCAATGGAGCGTCCGTGGCTGTCGCATGTTCCATTCTGAAGAGTGTGCCTTTGACTCGATTGGCCGGATCTCCAGCAAAAGCAATGGCCCTGGATTTGTGTTTGAGCCTATTGTCTCACCGAATCGTTCCCATGGGTTCCGTAGTACGGAAGCTGTTGAGTCGCTGTTAACAGGCCCCCATTAGGCGGAAAAGTCCTTCCGAATATGATTCTCTTCATTATTTCCGAATTGATGGGCCTCAGTCCAGTACTACCGCCACCCGTGTATCGACCAGTGTTCAAGGCCTCAACCTCTTGAGCAAGAACCTCTGCCTAAGCGCTTTTAGAATTTGAATGTCATCCATGTGAGCTTGGATAATTTACCTCCTCGGTATGCTCTGTTTGCCCCTCTTCAGGAATCTGGTTGAGGTTCTGGAGATCACGTCGCTCTTCAACGCGAATTGGAAGCGTCCTGTGCCCAAACTCTGAAGAGGGGCAATATCCTCCTCTCAAGCAATAATAAACGTGTAGAATTGAGAATCACCTTCGGCGTGAGCCAGACAGCGACCTTCGAGGTGAGTAGTTCCGATTCAGACGCCGGGTTAACGCTTATGTTCCTAGGAGTGCGACCTTGACTGCTTTGACCTCACGATCATGAATGTCAACTGCTGGACCACTCTGCACACCATTGTGCTTCACGCTCCGCCTCTCTGGCATTCCGCAAGGCCCTTTGTTGAAGGTGCAAACATCGGCCGTACATCGAAGCGGTTTGGGGGGCGCAGGCACTTGGACATGGCAGCAAGAGGCTTTTTTCCTTTCCCCTGGGAGGTTATCAGCACACATATCTGAGGCATATTGTAAGACGATAGAACACTAACGATCAAGTTTTGGGTTACCGCTTTCTGAGATTGGGGAATGGTCTCTTCAGCAAATTCAGCTCGGGAGTCAACTAGGGCAGGTCAATGATCTCGACGAGCATGGACACATACGCTTCTAAACTGACATAGCAGATCGGATAGCTGGATCTTATGGCATTTACTCTGAGCGCTCCAAGATTCATAATATCCGAC